CAACAGTATTGGCGGTGTGTACAGGTGGTACCGTCACAGTTTCCATCGACTCATGGTGCGATCGTATTATTGAGTATTGACATGTGTGGTGGCAGCTTGATCGAGGTCTTGTCTCTTAAATTACTTTACACTCGTATCATTACTTATTAACCTGTACCGCCTTCTACGTATATCAATGCACTAGAGTTTTCAGATTAAGCTTTATTTAGTATTAATGTCAGGTCAAATCAAATCAACCCAAATAATCCATTACTGTAAGGTGAACACTTGTAGACACTATCAATATTTTAAATCTGCATTCCAAATGGAGGATGAATTATGCTCTTTACTGTGTTGTTTTTACTGTGTTGAGGTATTTCAGCGGAAGGTTGTTGTGTAAATGTGTAGTTGGTTTCTGAAACGTTACATTATGTGAGCGATTCGTCTATAATTCAGTGAGAATCAACTATTTTATTTATTATCCACGACAAAAATGCCAGTTTTGTGGTCTAATGAAATTCTATTGCCAATTTGTCTGAATTACTTTGACCAAGCTCTCTGCATTGAAGGCACCGATGTGGACTATTGTGCCTCTACGACCAGGTTGTCTGCAGTGAAGAAACCAGTATGGTCTAGTAAGGTTCTACGACCAAACTGTTTGCAATGAAGGCAGCGGTGTAATGTGGTCTAGTAAGGTTCTACAACCAAGCTGTCTACAATGAAGGCAGAGATTTGGTGTAGTGAGGCTGTATGATAAAGCTATCTGCTACGAAGGAAGCGATTTGGTCTGTTGTGTGCAGTGAAGGAAGCGATGTGGTTTAGTGAGCCTCTACGACCATGTCGTATGAAGTGAATGTATCAGTGTGGTCTAGCGAGGCTCAATTTGTAATATAATTGAGCAGCAGCGAAGGTTTGCTGTCTTTATCATCCTAGTTTGTTGTAAATAAGTCATCCATGTAATAACCAAGCCGGTCTAGAATGCTAACATTGCTCAGTATATAGGATATCCGATATTTACATGCCCACTCAGCCGTTATTACCCACAATCCTCGGTAATTCTCCCCACACTCTTCGTACCTGAATGCTTAATTGTATTATTTTAACAGATTGGGAACTCGCGTTTGGTATTTCAATATTTCAATATTTTAAAATTCTGATTTTGTTTTTTGCCTAAAACAAAAACATTTGGCACATTGACACTAAGAAGACATTATACGAATACTTATGTTCGTTATCATAAAACTGAGGTCTACACTGACTGTCATTGTCATACAACAATTCAAACTTCTAATTAAACTCACGGTGAACATTTTACTATTTTTTCATTATTAACGCGTGCTGGTGCATATTAATATACTGTAGATAAATAATAACAGGCAAACGTACATTAAAATAACAACACGTAATAGATTTTCCGTTCAACTGCGAGATCTCGCGAGTTGCGTGAAAAACGCGCACCGAACGTCTGCCGCAAAAATCGAACGATTTGATTTAGAACTCGAATTTCTTTATTTCGTAGCTCACATCGAAAGCCGATCTTTGACAGAGGAATATTGCGTTTGAATACCCTAACTTCGTGGAAATTGCCTATCATCAAATGTGTACAGCACATTATTAAGCATGGAAATATCCCCCAAAATACAAAATACGCGTTTCCCGAATCTCTCGCAATGTTTGTCACCACTACGACGCTATGACCTTTGTTTGTCCTGTTTTTACGTCTGATTTCACGCATAACGCGGGATCTCGCAGTGAATGAAAAATTGTCTATTAGTTGAAAGCGTAAAACGGACAAGTTGGGCAAAACAAAAGTTTAGCGTACCAATACTGCGAACACCCTGCGCACCGATGGATATATATGTGAGTTGACAGACTATACAAAATTAGACAATTTTAATCATAGAGTATTTCACTGAGGAAAGAAAATTCAAACTTTGAAAAATTAACATATAGCCTATGCATAAACCCATTAAATCATATTATTTTTTCGATAAAAACGTCTAAGCCTAAATTTTAATTTATTTGGCGAGGGGGTGTTATTATCATGAGCTTGCGGAGAAATGCATGAACAAAATAGTCACAGAATGCTCAAATGACGTCACAAAGATGCAAAATGACCGATGGCTTAAATAACATCACACAAATGGTCACAGAAGTCTTAAATGACGTCACAGCGATGCCTAAATGACAGGCGTTCCATCATTAACTCAGATTGATGTATGTCGAGTGCCACACGTGGAGCAGCATGTGTTCACTGTTTTCTAAACACCTGACTCACATCACGTCTTGGGTGTATTGTATACCTTGCAATCCATATACACTGTCGGACATATCTTTTTAGCTAGCGTGTTATTTTAGCTAATTTAGCTAATCTGTAATTTCGCTAATTCAAGATGTCACTAATTGAAAATAAAGCATATTCTCACAATGAGATTGTTGACACTTTAGCTAAATTGAGATTCAGTTAATTCATGCATGGAGTGAAATTCTCTAAAATGGCATGTAGCTATTTAAACATGTTTTACAGTATATTTCTTTCGTTTATTTGACCACGTATTTTGACATGCTTTGGAACTGGACTTGTAATACTCGCCATGGACGTACAGTCTTCTCAAAATGACCCATTTTATATATTTCTATGACTTTGGTTTTGTATTGAATATGGAGGAAGAGTTGCAAATCTGAGTTTGGCTTCGCATAACTGTTAGACCGTGAATCCTGCTTACTCATGCAAACGTATCTACTGCAAACAATGTGTAAATACGCGAATTCAGAGGTGTCGCTGGGGATGAAATGGATATGGATTTGTTGTTGTAAATGTGTGGTACTTTGTAAATAGACATGATGAATACTAGCTATCCCGATATAGTCCATTACAAACGACACAGCCTGCAAACCCTTTGTTCTCTTTATAATGCTTTCAAATATGAAAAGATAACAATAACCAGACCGAATGGTTTCCAAATTGGAAGTTTAGTAACAGACTGTACATATGGGGTGATTTGATTGAACAACTGGCATACTATTCAGAGCTAATGAAGCTTAAAAACGATCCACTTAATATTCACAAATATCAACAACATGATTTAAGGCACAGTTTGAGATTCCTATGGTCTTGTCAATACGGTATATTACAATGAATAAGAATCACCCACATACAAGGGGCAAGAGGGATTAATGAGTGTATTGACGTATGGTGAAGAATTTCCTATTACCAGTATTCGTTTTTTTGGGTTCGATTTGATTGCGTTTTGAGGAGGACACATTCCATTATATTGTTTATAAAACGGCTGTTTTTTTTACTTGGGAATTGGAGTTTGGCAGTCATTAATATAACTAGATTGACTGGTTAGATTTTTTTCTTTCTTAAAGTGCTTAAAGCAGTAGTTGGTACACATGTAGATATGTACTAAATTCCTTAACAAACCTGTACTTAATACCTGTTTAGTCGTGTTTTGCACACCTATATTTTACATTGAAACCACCCAGTGCTGGGAAAAGTGTAACAGAGTCTGAGGGACTACATTTGTATCAACATGGTACGACCATATTCATATCACAAACGTGTTAAATCCGCAATACAAAATCAGAAAACATGACTGGGACGAATCACTAAAAACAAGTAGGTGGATGTCTTGAAATGACAATACAGCCTATCATTTGAATGTTGATATCACTGACAGTCTATAAATAAAAATAAAAATATTCGAACAAATCATGTGTCAGTTACGTCCATAAACATTTCAGTATGGACGGTAGGTGAGTCCAGTAGTGCAGTATGGGCGGTAGGTGAGTCCAGTAGTGCAGTATGGGCGGTAGGTGAGTCCAGTAGTGCAGTATGGGCGGTAGATAAGTCGAGTAGTGCAGTATGGGCGGTAGGTAAGTCGAGTAGTTCAGTATGGGCGGTAGGTAAGTCAAGTAGCTCAGTATGGGCGGTAGGTAAGTCAAGTAGCTCAGTATGGGCGGTAGGTAAGTCGAGTAGTTCAGTATGGGCGGTAGGTAAGTCAAGTAGTGCAGTATGGGCGGTAGGTAAGTCGAGTAGTGCAGTATGGGCGGTAGGTAAGTCCAGTAGTTCA